GTATCGCTAGCCCTGGGCTCTGTTTCGGTAGCGGCCTTTGTGGTGTTTGCAGTCTGTTCTGAGCTTTTGTTTTTATTTAATTGATGTCTGATTAGTAGCTGTGAAAAATTGTAGTGGCCAAGCAGATGATACCTTTCCTAAATTATGCTGTGGCGTTGTGTAGGGCAGCAGCAGAATTGCTATTTTAAAATGGCATTTCGTAAAATAAACACGTGTCCCGATTACAGGAAATACTAAGTTGATGATGAATTGACGCTGCGGAGCTGGCCTTGCGCTTGTAAATGCCTCCACTCTCGTGATCGTCCATCTAGTGAGGTTTCAGCAGGCCCACGCCTCGGATAGTTTCCAGAGAGCTGATTTGCAGCTTGTTTTCTGCCCTCCGGTGCTGGGGCAGGTGGCCACGAGGAGACAGCGCAGAGGACTTCTCTCCACGCTGGAGGTCAGAGTTGCCAGAAGATGGTGAATGGCCTGAGGCTGTCAGGATCTTCCGCAGTTCCTACGGGGCCTGTCCACACCTGGGGCTCAGACCAGGGCATTGCCACATTCTTGAGGGACTTTTAAGCCCCTGCCACTTGTGCCGTTGTTTCCTGTGTGCTGGAGGGAGCTGATATGCAGATAAAGGGAAGAGTATGTAGAAAGTAGGTTATATTTTCAGCCTGTAGGAGGTGAAGCCTTGTGCCTGCTGACACATAACACAGGGCTTGCCAAAATGCGAAAGTGTGGATGATTGTGTGTGTGTGTGTGTGTGTGTGTGTCGTATGTGTGGTTACCTGGGATATGAAATAGGTAAAAAAGTTTAAATATGTCTGAGACGCTTTGGAAAAGTCACTAAGAAGAAAAGAGACCATTGGAAATTTACTAGGTCCATCCCTGACTCTGACCTTTGGGGGTTGACAGCATTAGGGGATGTGCCATCTCAAAAGCGACCCAGAATGGCGAGGACCAATGGACTTCACTCAAGTGTGGCATATCTTCTGCGGGGAAGACTGTGGTCTGGACCCCAACCTGTTGGATAGATGCCAGACATCTTCCGGAACAGCACTGAGGCAGAAGGGTGACAGAGGCCCTGGACTTGGGCTTCTTATCATCTGTGCAGTTTGGGGCGAGGATTTCACCTTTTAGAATCTTCCTTTTCTCATCTGTGTTCTCACTATCCAGCAGCTCCTAAGATAAGGGCTGGAGGGTTCAGGGGCATCATCGTTTATTGAGTGAGTGAGTGAGTGAGTGAGTGGTAGGTGGATGTGGTGGGGAAGCATCCGGCTCAGTGCACAACATAGAGACACTCAAGAAACGTCAGTGCCGAAAGGGAGGCAGTGAGCAAGGTTGCCGAGCGGGGTTCGTCTGGGGCCTCAGGTTTGGAAAGTGTACGTACTTTTCCCTCCCCACAAATGCAGTGAGGGCAGCTCCTTTGTAGCCAGGCATTGCAAGGTAGGGTGTCCTTACGGCTGGCCCGTTAACCCCCTTTTCTCTGGGGTGAAAGGCCTATGTGCAGTTAACAGCTTTTAAGCCAGAGAATTGATGACTCTTGCTTCGATGTTCTTTAGAGTTCACCTGCTACCATTGTGGGGCCCCAGAAATAGGCTGCTGCTTTTATCTTGCCTGATGGGTGCCTCTCCAGAGGCAGTAATTACGGTGATAACTGACATTGAGACACTTGGCTCTCAGGAGCTCACTAATTGACTTCCGGTCCTGGTCCCGTCTCCACTGCCCACACTGCCTTCTGGTGTTGGCTCCGGGGCACATTCTCAGGGCCCCTTCAGCTAGCCAGGGTTGCTCGAAACCGTAGTCTTCAGAAGGGGCCAGGCTTGGTTTAGCCATGAGTTCCCACTCTGCTCTTCACTGTGACTTCCTCGTCCTTTAGAACTGTGGTCTTGGGCACAGCCGTGGCCTCTCCTTCCCTGAGATGAGGACAGTGGAGGCAGTAGCCAGGGCCTGGACTCCACTTTAACCTGAGCGGTGCTTCCTGTGCCGAGGGGTTGAGAGCTGAAGGGTGGGGTGAGTCAGTCTCTGACCTGATCCTTTATGTTCTTCTGTATTACTTAACTACATTTTAGTATTTTTTTTCCTTACCTAACGCTGTATATACTAAATCAGTTATAAAAGGATCACAGAGCTAAGTGAAAAAAAAAAAATTATAAAAGAACAAGAAAGAAATAGAGAGTACCTGCTCTAAAAATAGGAAAAGCTGTTCAAAGATAAAAACAAAGGGAGACATCCGGGCGCCTGGGTGGCTCAGTCAGTTGAGTGTCGGTTGACTCTTGGTCTCAGTTCAGGTCATGATCTCACAGTTCGTGAGATAGAGCACCTCATCAGGCTCTCTGAACTGATAGCACAGAGCCTGCCTGGGATTCCCTCTCTCCCTCTCTCTGCTCCTCCACTGCTTGGGCTGTCTCTCTCAAAATAAACAAACTTTTTAAAAAATGTTTAAAGACAAGGGGAGACATGATAAAGAAACAGACTGGTCCTGAAAACCTAAAAATTTTAAATTACATACCTCAAAAAATTCATTATACATATTTAGAAGACACATAACAAAAAGGGGGAATGTTGTAACATTAACATAGTTCCTTACTATTCAGAGGCCTCTTTCAAGTACACAGTGAGAGGGACCACTCGTAAAAAATGAACAAGAATGACAAGAACAGGGGTGCTTGGGTGGCTCAGTCGGTTAAGCGTCCGACTTTGGCTCAGGTCATGATCTCACAGTTTGTGGGCTCGAGCCCCACGTCGGGCTCTGTTGTGACAGCTCAGAGCCCGGAGCCTGTTTCGGATTCTGTCTCTCCCTCTCTCTCTGCCCTTCCCCTGCTCATGCTGTCATGCCCAATCTTCCCCCCCCTCCCCCCCCTCAAAAATAAATAAACATTTTTTAAAAATTAGGGACACTTGGGTGGCTCAGTCGGTTGAGCTTCTGACTTCAGCTCAGGTCATGATCTCACAGTTTACGAGTTCGAGCCCTGCGTCGGGCTCTGTGCTGACAGCTCAGAGCCTGGAGCATTCTTTGGATTCTGTGTCTCCTTCTCTCTCTGCTCACGCTCTCTCTCTCTCTCTCTCTCTCTCTCAAAGATAAATAAACATTAAAAAAATTTTTTTAATAAAAAAAAAAGAATGACAAGAACATGAATAGGAAATTCACAAAGTAAGAAACACACATTGCCAAGAATCTGTTAAACTTACTAGCTTTCCAGAAAACAGAAGAAACATAATTGTGGGGTATTTAAACAGGAAAAAAAAACTCAGGAAAAACTAAATGATTAACAATAGGACTGTTTTTAAAGTTACTGTATACTTTGATGTCATTAAAATCATGTTGTAAAGAATAGTTAATGATTAGAATAAGCCCACAACATAACTTTGTAAGTGAGAAGGTCAGGTTAAAACACAGCATTATCTCCCATTTAAAAAAAAAAAATTAAAACTCAAGGGACACCTGGCTGGCTCAGTCGGTAGAATATGGAACTCTTATTCTCGGGGTTGTGAGTTCAAGCGCCACATTGGGCAAGGAGCCTACTTTAAAAGAAAATTAAGGGGGTGCCTAGGTGGCTCGGTTGGTTAAGCGTCCGACTTTGGCTCAGGTCATGACCTCATAGTCTGAGTTCGAGCTCCACGTCAGGCTCTGTGCTGACAGCTCAGAGCCTGGAGCCTGTTTCAGCTTCTATGTCTCCCTCTCTCTTTGACCTTCCCCCGTTCATGCTCTGTCTCAAAAATAAATAAACGTTAAAAA